CGAATCCTACGTAGGGTATGGTCGTTATGGTGTGATTTATTATGGAGTCCAGTCCCAAACCACCATGACTCACCTCTCAACCAGAATCTTTCACTTACAAAATAACTACTGAGTGCGACGCAATGGGTCTTCGGGACATTGCTATTAACACCTTCTATGTGCAACCAGGTCTCCCTAACACTAACCTCGCGCAAGCATCAATGGACTTACGTGCCAATTGGACCACTCACTAAAGAGGCTTGTCTGGTTCGAGTTTGGGCGGCTCATCAGTAGTAAAGTTGGCGAAAATGATTGAGAAACCAGACAGTACAGAGGGTACCTGGAGTTGGGTCATGTCCCAGCAGAGTGGAAAGGACGTAAAATTGGAACACATAGGTACAAATTATATTATATTGATAAGTATACTTTATAATAATTTATTTAAATTAATATTATAATTTATACTAATTAAAAATAATTGATTAAAACAATTACTTATTATTTATTTTAATTTAATAACATAAATACACGTGCCAAAAGTGAATGTAATTTACGCATTAGGGACCCGGAAGTCAGGAGCTCCCAAAAAGAATCCCGCTAACACCCAATAGGTTCCTGTTCAATAATATGTCGAAAGTGTCTCGTAGGAAAAAATCTTTAATGCATTTACTCGTCGCCAGTATATTTAATCAACTTTATTTCTTTTATTGCTGCAACAGAAGGCGGGAAATTCATTTCAAGAAACAACAGCATCAATCAATATAACCATCGGCCAGAGATTAAGCAACGGGGTATTCACAGCGAGTCATTGGACATTCATGCGCATCCTCAAAATTATAATACACCAATGTCTAAGAAGATTAACACATTTCAGCCATTTGTAAAACGCATTACCAATCATACTGTATCTGGTCGGTAAACAGAATCTAATACATAAAATCAAACTCCACATGCCAAAACCGTTCCATTCATAAAGAAATAGTCTAACAATAAGTTATTCTGAGAAATTCAAACTGTCGTATCGAGGTGTTCCCATTATTGCAATGCAACCAGATAACTCCTGAAAGATTATAACAAAAGGAGTTGGGAAAATTCGAAACTTCAAATTCGAAAATTTGGCAAATTACACTAAACTTCTACTTTTAAAAACTTGTACATGATCTTTTTTCAAAAACCTATCTTGCAAACACAGATTTCATTTAACAAAACTATTTCCATCATCAATATTTAATTTTTGCAATGGCAATTTGTACTTTCTCGTCCATCGAAAGAAGAGGAAGTACTGCTGACATGCGCCGTAAATCGGCAAATTTTTGACGGAAATACTCCTATTGTCGGGCTCTAGAAAAGAAAGTAGCGATAATTCTTATTTCTATGTATAGTAAATTATTTCATCTAACACATTGCGTAGTCAGAAAGCAAGTTTTGTGAGTCCTTGATTCCGACAAAGAGTAAAATGCCAAAACGTCTACCTGTCCCTCAACGCTAGCGCATAAACCGTCTAGCCAATTGTCCCTAAAATCGATAATTCCAGATCGATTTAAAGGAACTCGAGGCCCTGCGAGTTTGAAACGAATAATTTAATTTACGCAGGTCGTACTTTACATCAAGCCTCATTTACATATTCAAAATTTTCCTAAATGTAGTTCCTACAAGTTTTGATTAAACTTTGTCCTCGGATCGTGTGAAAGACGCTTAAAAGAACGTCGCAGGTATCAATTTCGTTGAAATTCCAGTTTTCGAAAATTGCATTAGTTCAAAATTCCTTAATCTTACAATATTAAAGACAGAGAATGTTAAAACAAATATATTAACGACGAATCTTGAAATAACGTCAGGAACAATTTTCCAAAAATATGAGTAGTTTTCGCGTGATATATAGGCAACTTTTAATCAATTTTCTCTCTTAAAAACGGCACCAAAGTTTTTCGTAAAATTTTTCCTTCGAATGTATCAAAGAACGGTAAAAAAGGGTCGCTAGTCCCATTTCCGGCAAACTCTGCGTTTTAAAAAATTGCAAAATTGTAACATTCAAAAACTACAAATTTAAAGATAGAGATTTTTGTCTGAAACAAAATCTGTTTTAAAGAATCATATCATTAAAAAAGTCGTTATATACATATTTTTGGAAAATCGAGTCGTTTCGCACAATTTCTGAAGTTAACTCAAATAATAAAAAATACATTTTCTCAAAAACTAAAGCCAATTTTTTCTAGCGATAGAATAAGGAACTCTTGAGAATGGCACAGGCCTTGTTTTCGTTGTACTCAGAATTTTCGAAAATTGCAAATTTAGAAAGAATCCAAGAACCTATTTGCTGCTGTAGCATCACTTGTTACTTTCCCGCCATTCCTTACGCGGTATAGTGCAAGTATTGTAATGCTGCGGGGAATATGTGAATTTTAAAACACAAAAGCTCATATTGGCGGGCTCTGGTAACGAAAAAGTGGGTAAATCTTGGTCCTATACGTAGTTGCCTTTGACACGTGTGGAGAGAATCCACGTTTGGGGTTTCTTGTTACAGAGAAATCAAATTCGGCAAAAAGTCTGTCCGTCCGTCTGTGAACAACGCTACCGGCTAAACCATAAGCTGGATATTTCACCAAAATGGATAAAAAATCCCCGTTCGATATGATGTCGCAGCCCCTTGAATTTGAAACGGATATTTTGAATTTTGGGTGGTTCTTCACACAAAACCTCAATTTACTGATCAATGAATCATAGCGAGTCAACTGCTAAGGTCGTTAGTACCGTAAGTGTAGTGCATGTTTCATCGTGGAAAGTGGCTGTGATCCCCCGCCGCTGAATGATGAGATTACGGTGCCGACCTACGTTGACTTTTGAAGATTTTCCCAAACAGGTACCTCCTACCAGCGGCAGGCCACTAGAATTCTCCTACAGACAGCGGCTGAATTAGATCTAGCTGACTGGGACCGAGTAACAATGGAGACAGAATCTTCAGAATTAAATTGTATAATGAATATCAAAGCGAACTAAGGAAATATTTGCAGAATTCGCCCCCTTCTGATTTCTGTCTTCCAGCAAATGCAGTAATGACCTTTGTTTCTAAAGCTGATAGCAGATCAGGAAAGAATAAAAAATGTGTAATTAAAATACCCTTTTTTAAAATTGAAATGTTTCATCAAAAATACATTGTGGAGAATGTATTATGTACTGAATTGAAAAAACTTTCTGAAATTATTTTATTGTTTCAAGCCAAAATCTTTTCTCTTCGAACTTCAATCTGCTGCTTTAATCTTAAATCTGTGAGAAGTAATCTGAATAGAAGTTTTGAAAAACATTTTATTTTCAAGTTCTCATATAAAAGGGGAAACAATAGCAAATAACCATCTGTTTTGAAAATGAAATGACTACCATAAAAAATAACTGTGTCTGGAGGAAACATTATAGTGTTTGCAAAGGGAACAAATTATACACAACACTGAAGATGAATGGGTTTTGTTTTGAATCAAATCAAAAAAGAAATAACAGGTAAAACTCGCAAAAGTATAGAAGCGAGCAAAACAAACCTAGAAAAAAATTCCTCTTTCTTTAGCAGATAAAAGCAGTACATGCAACAGACTGCAAGTTCAAAAATTGAACTTTCCTGTCAACAATGATCTAGAAAGCAGGCCTGAAATTTGCGGTTTCAAATATTTTCCAATTTTATAGCATTTGCTTGTGGTTTTGATTGATTTTTGTCAAAAAATGGTAAAAATTGTTTGTGACATGTGGGGGGGAGATACAATCTGCACTGCTCCAGAAGGTTGTTGAGCTCCAGAAGCCTTTCTCCATCCTTCTACTACATGTAGTTGGACATGAATACTATGTACCATTGCACAGTAACATCAATGAGAAATTATTAATTAAACACCAGGAGAGCTTTTTCTGAAGTGCAGAACGTCCCAGCTTACCTGCTCTGCTGATTCATAATTCAATGTGCTTTCACACAAAGTGACTGCAGGAAATTGCATCTATTTTCTCTTATTTTATATATTAAAATAACTATTTATACCTCCAATTTTCGACAAACAAGGGCAGAATCCATTAATAGACGGTCGATCTGTTTGTTGTAATTGAATCTGAATATATGATCTTTAAAAAATCCATCATGTTTACTCCCCTCTTTTATGTTTATGATTGTTTCTCTTTTTTGTTTTTTAAGATACATACAGTAGGATTTTACAACAATAGTTTCCTCAAAACCAAATAAACCATTGTAGACGATTCTAAAGTGAAACAAATTTCATAATACAATATGCTCTTGTATAGGATTTACTTCACACAAAGAATTACTCAATGTCACAATCCACTTCAGAATTGCATAATGCCCACTGACCACCAGAGACCAGAAACATACATAGCATGCAAAATCAGCACATCAACAGCAAGGTGCAAAGCTGCTATCAAACGCATCCTGATAATAAGTATTATTCACCACCTACTTCTCAATACCCTCTTACACAAAAGCCAGACAGCCTTCATTTCTGTTCATGCAAACATCGTTCTTTTCTATCTGATATGCAACTAATACTACCACTTGCAGTGGGATTGTGAATCATGAACGTATTTATACAAACAAAACATATCCTAAACATATATCAAATTATTATTACTTGTTAACATATTTAAATTCCAAAAATGTTTGGCAGAACACAAATTCTTCTACAAGTGGCATGAGCAATTACTAGGTGACTTATTGAGCAGGGACATAAATCCAATAAACTGCTTCAAAAGTAATGTAATAAAATTTGATATATAAAGTACAAAACTCTTGAATCACTCATGGTTGTATTTCATATTTTGAAAAGAATTTTATAAACCATTTCGCATTTTGAAGTTAGAATACTTTTAGCAAGTATTCTGCACGACTCAGACCAAAGGGCAATAAATAGTGTTTGTCTTTCCCACCCTCCCAATCTTGCGCAGTTTCCATTGATTTTGTAGCAAAAAATTAAAGAAATAAATTACTTTAAAACCTAAAAATTAGCTAAAATTTGTATAAAACATGTGTTTCTTACCAGTAGTCCCAGCACCCGTGTATGCAATGAGACAACGACTTGTGGACAGTTCCCACAACTTTATTAGGGAATCCTTGCCAGAGGACAGCAAATACTGAGAATTACATACAAATGCATTAATAGAACATAGATTTTAAATTCCATACATTATGTAAACTTATATCTTTTAAAAACATTACCTTTCCATTTCGTGAGAATCTTACTGAACATACTTCTGCCCCATCGTGAGCTTTCATAAAAGTATTAACACAACGACTTGACACCCCATCCCAAATTTTAATACTCCCATCTCTACCAGCAGAAGCAAAACTTTTTGCATCTGGTGAGAACCTGGAAATTTGAAAAATGATGATAGTTCAATTATATGGCAATAAAAATTAAAATTTAGAAAGAGAGCATATATTTTAAAATCTCATACTCACTTAATAGAAGTTATCCCAGCAGTATGTTGATGATTGGGTATACTACATACAAAACACTGAGCTGTAGTAATATCATAAAGACGAATTACAGGGTGGTTAGTACCTACCACCAAATAATCACCAGTTGGATGAAAGGACATACAGCGCACTTGATCAGCATCCTACAATTGATATTATTTACTTAACATATGTTTTGTCACTTGAAAATAAATTGCGATAAGAATAAAATGAATACATACTGTAATGGTCCGGAAAGCTTTCTTAACAGATGTTTTACTGTAATCAAATAACTTAATAGTGAAGTCCCTACTGCCTGACACTAGAACTGGTTCCCGAGGATGAAATTCAAGACATGTAACTTCTTCAAGATGATCATACAATGTCCGAATCACAGGATGGCCTTGAGAATCTCCTGAAGGGTCTAAGCCATCAGGGGCAGACTTAGCTAACATTCGGTCGACATCTAAAATCTAAAAATAATTTTTCTAAGAAAAATTTTGAAGGTTTGGGCACAAAACTAATTTGCATATAAATCAAACTACCATCTATTTTTAAAAACAAATTTGCAGTTTAGGAAATTAAAATTGATTCTTCTAAGTAAGGTTTGAAAGGAAATACACAAAATAATTGCAAACAATCATAATTTAATGAAAATAAATATTTTAATGAATTCAGAGACATAGATATTTTAGATATATTTATACAAACTTTTATGGAAGCATCAACACTTCCTGTAGCTATCAGTTGACCATCAACACTAAAAGCCCCAGCCCGACAATTCCCTTTGTGTGATGTCACGTAAGCTGTTTCATACAATGCTGGTTCTGGAGCAGTTGACTGTACATCTGTTTCATACTCCAAGTCTAAAAGAGTGAAGAAAACATATTTCCTTGTTTAATATTTTTCTAATTATTAGGTCTACTTTAAAATGTACAAAATACAAAAACTGTGAACATGAACAACACATACAAAATAGAAATTCAGAGTATAGCAATACCTAATCCAGGACCGAGTAAATTTTCCTGGGGAGTTCCGGTAGGTGTAGGCTTTGCCTGACGCTCTGGTTCATGTTGAAGGCCTGCCATAACCACATGTAGCAAACGATCTGACGGAGGACATGGTGGATCAGCTTGAGCTACAGCTGACAACCCAACTGCAAGACTCTGATGACCATCATAGAATAACTGGCTAACACATAAAGAAGGTGAAGTAATAACACTGAAGAAATAATATGTTAAAATTTCAGTCGTAATGCATTAAACTCCAAGGATAAGATCGACTCTCTATTAACTAAGCTGCTTAGACTACCAACTGCATGTCTCATCTTGGATGCCGGTATTCTATTTAACTTCACGCAAGTAAAAGAAGTGTAAATACCTACCTTATCATCAAACGATACAACAATTCGCGGGCCTTTATAACATTTTTAGGGTCCACGTTTTCACTCATGTTACTTTATAAATATTTTTAACAGTGTAACTATTTTAATATTATAATAGTCTCAACTTGTTTCAGTAACGTGAAGTGAAACCGGTGAAACATGCACAATTCCAAACACAAACAACACAGGCTGATTGGTCTATCGATAATTTTACCAGCTGTTCGAATTCTCGAATGTCAACTTCGACTTCGATAGCGATCATGGCCACCTATGAATGGTGTTATTTCTTCTAATAATTTTCAAATGGCTGATTCAGAAGCCGGAGGTGCCAAGCCTGATAGTTTCATTAAGAAACGAAAACCAAGTTCGGATTATGCTCTTAAAAAGCGAGTTCCTCATCGAAACTCTCATCGCAAGAATGATGTGTACGTTACCAGCAAATCAACTTCTCAGGTGAAGAACTGCTCTTAGGTTAAATGTGGTTTTATTGCTTTTGAATAAAAATTTATTATCCTCTATTGTTTTCTCTTTTATTACAGTCTCAGTTAGCACTTTGTGAAAAATTGTTTGACTCAGGAGAGTCAGAAATTTTTATATATGGTCTGGGATCAGCTGTATGTCCAGCAATCAATATAGCTTTGCAGCTGAAAGAGAAATATCCAAGAGTTTATGAAGTCTCTGTTGAAACCTCAACGGTTGACATTGTCGGTTAGTCATTTGTGTTGTAGCTAGTATTTTTAGGGTTATTGTCATCATTGATATTTTACTCTACAGAATGTTCTTTTTTCCTAGATGATCTTGAACCTCTTGTGGATCAAGTAGATTACGAAACCCAAACAAGGCAGAATTCAGCAGTTCGTATTCGAGTGTATCGCATTCAGCCAGAGACAGCAAAAAGCTAAACATGTTTTTTACATTGGGTGAACTTGTGGCGTGGTTGGGACTCACTGTGTTTGAAATATGGATCAATCTCATAGCTATTACTATATTCACAGTGCTCCTGGCATTACGTGTTGAAAACGTAATAGTTGGCACAAATTCATGGTGGGTGGTTTTCTCGCCCTTATTTGCAGCAGATGGTTTGAATGCATATTTTTGTACAATTGTATATATTCGTATGCACTTGGAAGGAATGTACAAGGTATGTTAAGTTCTAAATAGTGCAAAATATGATTTCTGCCTTTCATTATTTAATTCTAATGTTTCCCTTTCACAGGCTGCCTTACTCCGAGCGGCATGGAGTGTTTCTTTCCTTGTTTTATTATTTGTGTTTAAATTTCTACTTTGCAACAAACTCTCTGGGCAGAATGGCCTAGAGTACTCGGAAGTTTTGTCTCCCGTATTTATACTCTTACAGCTAATTGCAGTTCGGGCATGCCACTTGCACTAAAAGATAATGGTTTTGATGTGAATCATATAATAATTTAACAAAATCGAAAGGAATGCATCTTATCTTGCAAGTTAATGGACTGTTCAAATGGAATAACCCTCAATTAAAATTTAAGATTCTCCAACAGATTATCAGCTTTCGAATGTACTTAAATTTTAATTGAAAAATATAAATAACAGATTGATTCTATGCATTTGGCATATTGATGCTCTGACACTCCTCTTGTATTGTGTATTTATAAAACATGTAGAGCTAGTTTGTGTACTGACCAAATCAAATTATACTTCCAAGAATTTTTCTTGCCTTGTCATTTTTTCAATCACAAATTTGTATAAGTATACCTATCCAAAGAACCATGTATCTATATTAGCATTAGAAATATATTATTTTTCAAACAAATATGAGAAGGAAGAAATTAAAGCTGTATTTTAAGAAAACAATTCATTTCATTTTATTTGGCATGTATGCTTCAGATTTTAGTAGAGGAATTAGAAACAATGAGAGCAGTAAATGATACCTGTTAACTCATTAAAGTCTGACAATTATTGTGTTATCAATCTTTTTTCTCTATAATAGCCTTATTTTTATTACCTGTGAATGAGCTCATGATTTAATTCAAACGATTTTTTCACTTATTTCAATCAAAAGCTTTTTTGTCTGCATAAACTTAAGAATGTATATGAGAAAATATATGCGAAAACAGTGTGTACTTGCGAATCTTGTTCAATAACTTTTAAACTACTGGAGCTCTCAAACTTTGTGAGAACACCTTTCTGGAGACTAGAAAAAACATGTCGTGATCCCAAAATGTTACCCCAGTGATGATTACTTCACAAATTGTTCCTGAGGACATGCGCGAAACACAGGGAGGAAAATTCCCCCCTCCCCTTGCTAAAAAAAAATTTCAGTGACTATTAATTTTAACGTGTCGCAAAACTTTCAAGCAAAAATATTTTGGGATAATCTTAAAACGAATAAATTCGTATCGCAGCATGAGCTTGAACATGCCTGTGACATTCGACCAAAATGTTTTGAATTTCCCTTCCCAAAATTTCTCTCGATCCGCCCCTGCTGTAGAGCATCATAGCCATGATCTCAATAGAGTAGGCAACGTCTCACGAGCGTTGCGTTGACGCGCGTCATCTAATAATTTATTAGTAATAAAGTTAAAATTAATAAATTTATATATTTATAAAGTTAATAAATTTATATATTTATAACGTTAATATTAGTAATAAAGTTAATATTAATTAGTAATAGTTATAATTTATTAGTAATAAAGTCAGCTGCGTCGATGCCTGCGCACTTAATGCACGTTGTAGATTAATTCCATCTTTCCATGAAACGGTACACGACCGCTTTCAGTGCCATGCGTTGTGCCCACAGCTCAAACTACAACGTAAGTCAAGATATCGCGCGTTAACAACAACGCATGTCGCCATGAGCGCTCTGCGCCATTTCCCACAAGACACAGAGTCAATCTATGGCGCACAATTAGCGACTCGCAACTGATGGTATCAGAGACTTAGGTGACGCACGTCAACGCAACGCTGGTGTGACAATTGAGATTCTCTTTTCTTGCACTTTGGTTGTCCCGTATGTGTCTTCTTGTGTAGCAGTAACATTGCCATTACAGAAAAAATAAATTACTAAATTTTAAAGTGGCATTTAAAGTACTGAGAAAAATATACCATAATGTATTTTTGAAGAATAACAAATGTAAACAATTGCAATAGAAATATTTCTAATTTTCACATACGTTTAATTTACTATCGTTAATTCTTATGGTACGATTTAAATGTAGTGAAAGTCACGAGGTGGAAGGAGAGGAGGACACTCATCCGATCGGAAGCTACAATATTATAAATAGGCCGAAAGGAAGCTCCCGATTGGATGACAATGACCCCTTCACCTTCCAGCTCGTGACCATAGAAGAATGAGTCTTGTTTCCTGTCAAGCCCTTGAAGAAACATTTGTCTGACTATGGTACAGTCAATTTAGTCTTCATCTCCGGAAAATATCCTCTTGAACTCAATTTTCGCTGAGACCTTTGTCTTTTTATTTAATAAAAGGGGTGCAAAGTTCTAAGCGATATCACGCGTGCCTTTAAAAATATTAGAGCAGCTACTTTTCAAATATCACGAAACATCACATCCCGGTTACTCTACTCTGATTTGAGGAAAATATCTCGATTTGTATGGGTTGTACGTCAAAAGGGATTTTAGTTAAACTTGTAGAAAAAATTCCTATAAAACTGATTCTTTTTTCTCTCATACGACAAACGCGATGAAATCTTGCATAGGATAGAGTCGATGACAGTCGGGAAATACGTTATAACGGCCAATCAATATTATTGATAATATAAAATTGCTCAAAACAATATTGTTTATATAAAATTATTTAATGGTATTATTAAATTTGGTACTGTTTCATAATTTATAACTACCATTTTTTGAACTGCAGAACCTTGTAAACGCGACATATCTTGCCCTGCGGTGCACAATAGGTGTGTGCCCCGCTACTAGTCTACTAGTTTCGGTAGCAACACGGCCGCGATGGAGAGAGCAACGCGAAATCGACAAAGGTTAAATCAGGTCGGTGGACAAGTGCGTGGAGATGTGCAGCACTGTATTTTTTTTTTCGTGAATTTTGTGAGTGAGTCAGGGTTGTAGAACGGGCTCGCCACCTGTGGCCCGTGAAAGGTTATTGGACAAAATACAGATATTTTATTGAAATACCGCCCTGAAAAAAGGTTTTATAAAGATTACGTAGTAAATTATTATGCTCTCAAAAACATTATTTGCCATGCATCTTAAGGCGGCTCCACACATGAGGCATTCGGCGAATTCCGAGTAGTGTGGACGGGTTGCTTGCGATTCACCGAACGTTCGGTATTCGCCCTACCCACCGCTTGCCGGTCTTTAGGACTCGTCAAAGGCAGCGAACACATCAGCTGCTCTGGATTGGGCGGGCAGTAGCTCGCTGCTCGACGAATGCGGAATGTGTGGAGCCGCCTTAATGCAAGTCTCTTGAGGGCAGGGATGAGGCCCAGCCTCCTTCCCTGTTGGGAAAAGACACGTATGATTAAAAAAACCTTCAACTGGTGGCGGTTTAATTAAAAATTGTTCCATTGAAATGGCAAAAGCTTTAGAAAATTCTAAAATAGTAAGGAAATTCGAAGCAGTACCGCTTTGACATCATACCACGCACAGAAGGTTTGTTGACATGGGCGAGCAAATAGAAAAATCATTGTTTAGCTCGGTTAAAGAAAAGCTCGTATTTCTCACTTTGTATGAATGCACTGATAAAATAAATCTAGTTAGTCTTTAATATGTGTACGTACTATTTTTGAAGATTTCTCCGGTATTAATGTTGTTCTCTTTATGGATCAAGAAAAGGAAAAGACATCTAAAAGAATGAAGAAAATAATTGACAGAATTGAAGGCTTTTGTAAGTGTTCAGCCACTGTAACAGATTGAGCACCATTAATGACGAAACATCTGGATTAGACGGGTTGCTTTAGAAGAACTAAGGTACATGCCCGACAATCCAATGTATTATTCACCAGGGAGATATATGTGGAAAATAAAGCAAGCAACATCAAGTTTTTTTACTTTGATTAAGATAATAAAACTGATTAGAGGTGATCCCGTTTATACAGGCAGAGTGAACAGTTTTGACTGGAAACAGATGCCGAGTATGGAGGCTTGCTAATGTACGACCATGTATGGTGGGGGAGTCCCACGGAACGATGTTTTGCGCTAAGAAAGGAAATCCATACATTCCTCTATAAATATGCCTTATTTGACACAAATGAACAATATCTCGCATGCCCTATTCGTTGCTAATCACTCACACTGCTCAGACACACTCCTACACACACTATCTCTATAACGAGCTGGCAGCCGTTTGGTTCTCTGCGATCTCACTGGTTTGGGCTGCGTTTGGACATCATCTGCTTCACATACTCCTGGATCTGGGATCTCTGATTCTCAGATTGCCCCGGGATGCCTTCCTGATTCTTAGATTGCCTTGAGCTGCTCTGTGACTCGTCTTCCCTTACTTTCTCCTCATACGTGTCTTCGCACAACAGGGTAGGAGGCTGGGCAGTCGCCTCATCCCTTTCCTCACACCTATTTTGCATACGCAACAAAAGGCCCAGGCTTCACAGGTTCATTCGTACTTATCCTTGACTAAGTGCGTATTCTCCTGTAAACTCGTTCGATCATTGTTTCCCTTGACCATCGGGACTTGCATCGCCCTTACTCTCGGAAAAGGACTCTGGGTAGTATGAACAAAAGTAAGCAATTACTCTTTGCTCCGAGTTTCGGAGATCCTTCTCAGTATGGTATGAATAAAGTGGGTGAGCAATTGCTCAGTCTCCGAACACTTGCTCCATCTCTGAGCGTACTCTCAACTGGCGAGCAAATGCTCAGAATTGGTATGAATAAAGTTAAGCGTTTACTCTCTAGAGTGAGCACTTGCTCCAAAATTTCGGAGGGACCTTAATAGCAGACTCACTTTTGAAACGTAAGGTTAAATTGGCCGATTTTTTTTACCGTGTGTTGATATGCAGATGCAGCGGACTAAAAAAAATAACAAGATAAGGCGAAATTCTCGTGATGTAGAATCTTTGCTGATTCGAAAAGGGTAGAGCATGGTTGGTACGATTTATATCGGCGTTTGCTTTCAGGCGCATTTGCATATTGTATATCTTTTATGTTAATTGGCCATCGCTATTTTCTACTTGGAATTTTTCGGGTTAATGTTTTTTCAAAATTTGTAATGTTTCGTTTCGGCCACAATATTCCTCCGGAGGCTGGCCCTTTTCAAAAATAATTTTACATTCGCTTAGCATTTTGACAAAAACTAGCTGGGCCTCTGGCGCCTGTTTTTTGTTACTGCAACTCCTATTCGAATTTAAAGAACGAGGCAACAAAACATTGCTCTTTATTCTGCACAAATATGCGCGACGCGCGTAACGTATGTAACATCTTTGTTACTCAAGAAACCAATTTTTAAAACTCTTAGTCTGCATTATCTCTTGTTCACGACGAGCAAATGCTCGCGAGACATGAGTAAGTTCTTCGGAGACATACGAAGTTTTTATTCATACGAAATGGAACTTTTGCTCAGTGCCGCGGAGTAGACTCACTTTGCTTCACTGAGCAAGTGCTCATTTTTATTCATATGACCCACTAACTCGCGGCCGCATTCTTCCGACTATACTTGACTGACTCGCGGCCGCCGGCGTCGCATTTATACCTGGCCGGCGATCGTCTCGACACAACCAGCACTTTCCCCACCTTTCCCCGCGACTCGAGAATAGTCCGGAATCGTCCAGTACGGGGGAAGGGGCGCCGGCAGATGACGCAATCCGCGCGCAGAGAATCCGGCAGATGAGGCAATATTCATTACAATATTACTGCAATATCTTGAATATTGAATGTCATTAAAAGGGAAATGTATATTCGTAACATATTATAAGAACTTGCATTAATATATTATAAGTTTACCTGAGGGTTTTGCAACTTATTAAACGCAAAATAACAAAAAATAATTTTTACTGTCTTAGAACCCTGGAACAGGCCTTAAAAAAATCTCAAAAGTCCTTCTTATACACAAACGTGAATTTTTAATAGA